AAGGACTGTCATTACAGACTTGGGGTTGGTAAAGGGATAATGAAGACAAGAGTAGATGGTGACAAGGGAGCAGTGAGGCAAGACGCATGGGCAGAGCCATAGGCGCCAACTTTTCCCGGCACTGGTGGATGCCTGACCCCGCCCCGACTCCACTCCTGCCCCGTCCCCTCCTGCCCCTGCACTGCCCCCATTCCAACTCCTTCCCCAAAGTCCCTGCCCCAACTCCGCCCCTCCCTGCCCCATTGGACTCCTTCCCCAAATCCCCATGCTGGCCCCACCTCTCCCCCAGCTGTTTCGTGGTTGCAAGCGCTGGGAGCTAGGGGGAGAAGCAGGGGCGTAACGCACTCAAGGAGGGAGGCGGAGCAGAGGTGAGCTGGGGCGGGGAGCTGCCGGTGGGTGCAGAGCACCCACCAATTTTTCCCCATGGGTGCTCCAGCCCCGGAGCACCCACGGAGTCAGAGCCTATGGGCAGAGCATCAGGGCTTGATGGGAAGTGACAGGAGAGATGTAGAAGCAGGTACAGCCATGCAGATCCCCAATGGTGAGGATGAGGAATTTGAACACTGTGTAGAAAGAGAGAGGGAGGCAGTAAAGAGACTGGGTGGTGGGGGGCTGATGACAGCAGTACAGATATTTTTTTATTTCAATGTGGTAGCTAGTGCTTTTGCACTCTAACTTTTTCTTACTTCTAAATCTGTACTGTATGCCTTTAACATTAAGAAATCTTGCAAATGTACAGAAGCACTGTCAAAGGACCTTGCCCTAGGTATTTATTTCATCAGATGGAAATAGGTTTCTCCTTCTGTGACCTTCAATGTGTCTGTCACAAAATGCCACTTCTGCAATTTTGCCTTTTGTACCTTCAAAATGGGGAGCTTGTGTTTTTCCTAATTACACTGTGGGATAGGTGTAGAGCATTTACTCATAGAAGTCAGAAATCCCCAGAACTTTGAATCCTTTGTAATTATCTGACAGCCATGTGCTGTGCTAGTTAATGATTTAAAATTAACCTTTGTTTTCTGTTAGACACCCCGATGTGAGATGCAATAGTTCCTAGTCTGCTACGTGCACATTCTATAAGCCCCTATTTCTGTCATAGGTTCATAGGGCCAGAAAAGGACCAGAAAAGAACCTTGTCATGGACTGGCTGGCCCTTTGAGGCAAGCTAGGCTTAGCCTTGTTCATGGTTTAGCAGCTACTCCTTAGCCTCACTGATGAGCTGACAACATAGGGCTAATTAGTGACCCCAGCTGTGTGTAATAGGGGCTGAATTAGAAAGACTAACCCCAGCTGTGGTGGTGAAACAGGCAGAGCACTCCTTAAACAGAGCTGGGAACTCAGCAGAAGGGGGAAGAGTTTGGAGGGAAGAAGAAGGGGAGTGCCCCTCTGGGAAGAGGCTGAGGTACTCACTAGGATTAGGGTACCTCCTGGGTAGGAGAGCTCGGAGTTAGGGCCTGCAACAAGAGAAAGAGACCCACAAGGAATAGAGTAAACTCCTGTTGGGGAGGCCTGAGATAGGGGCAGGAGGATCTCCAGAAGTAAGCTGCTGAAGTCCACGGTGAAAGGAAGCAATAGGAGAATCCTGCTGGGAAGAAGTAAGATGAGAGAAGCTCTGCAGGGGCCAGGAAGCAGTGAAGTCTGAGAGGGGCAGGAGAACTAGTGATTTAGATGTTTGATTTAGAATTTAAGTTGGACTTTTTGTTGTTTTGGATGGGGAGTGAATTGTTATATGACTTAGCTGGAGGGCCAAGCCACAGAAAATCCAGAGAGGGAGTGGGGAGAAGATGATGGGCAGGGACTAGCCATCGCAGCCAAGGAAGTGGCCACCAGGGGCAGACAAGAGGCAAAGTCCTCTTTAATGGTCTGTCCAGGCATGAGAGGGCACTCCAGAAGTTGTGATGTGCACTACAAACCTGTTTCTCCTACTTGGACCAGGGACAGAGGTGCAAGGAAGCCAGTACGCCCTGGTACGGCATAACGGCAAGAGCCGGTGCGCTGTACCGGGGCGGACTGGCTTCCCCAGGCGGCAATTCATAGGGCCTGGGGCTCCCAGCAGCGGCTGGAGCCCCGGGCCCTTTAAATTTCCACCAGAGCCCCGCTGCCGGAGCCCTGGGGTAGCGGCGGTGGGGCTCCAGCAGCTATTTAAAGGGCCCACGCTCGGAAGGGGCCCTGGCCGCTTTTCTCCACCACCACCCCCCACGCTCTCCCCTATGGGGGCAGAAGTTTGGTGTTGCCTTCTACCGGGGCTCTGTCCTGCTGCTGCAGGGCAGGCTCCGCTGGCAGCCCAGCTCCCCCTTCCCCTGCCTCTTCCCCCAGTGTGCTGCGTTCCCCCGCCCCCTCTCACTCTCTCTCCCTGCTGCCGATCAGCTGTTTCCTGGCATGAGGAAGCAGAGAAGAGGTGGGGGCAGGGCCTTGGGGAAGGGGCTGGAATCAGGGCATACCCCCTTTAGCCCCCTGCCATGAGCCGCTCAGGGCAGGGAGCTGGGAGCGACCCCAGCCCTCTGCCCTGACTCCTGCACCCCCCCACACACATCCCCACCCCCACCCTGAGCACCAAACGGGAGCTCCTGCACCCTCCCCCACCCCACATACCCACCTGCACCCCTCGCACCGAATGGGAGCTGCCCTGGGTAAGGGCTCCACACCCCAACCTCCTGCCCCAACCCTGAGCCTCCTCCCTTATTCTAGCTCCTGGACAGACCCTGCACCCCAGCCCCCAGCCCCCAGCCTGCTCCTGCACCCTAACACCCTCCCAGACCCTGCATCCCCAGCCCTGTTCTCAGTGCACCTCCACCCTCAGCTTGGTGCAGAGAGAGACAAAGAGAATGGGCTAGAACCAGGGAGAAGATAGGTACCCGCTCTATGTGGGCAGGGGTGTGTGTGGGAGATCCTGTTTACCCCCTCCCCAGCCCTGCTGTCCTTGCAGTTTACCCCCAGTTCCTCCCTTGCTCCAAAGACTAACTCTAGCTCCTGCCCCACTGTGTTTTTGCCCCCAGCCCCTGCCTTGCTCCAGTCAGCAGGGACTAATTCTCCCCCCATGCGTCACTGTGCTCATCTTGCCCCAGCCCCTGCCTCGCTCCAGCTGGGGACCAATCCTTCCCCCCCACCACCACCACCACGCCCCGCTGTGCTCTTGCCCCTGACCTCTTCTTTCCCCAGAGGGGCTCTCAAGTATGTTTGGCATCAGGCTCACAAAAAGTTAATCCAGCCCGGGCCCTTTAAATTGTCCCTGGAGCCTTGTTGCCAGAGCCCTGGGGTAGCGGCACCAGGGCTCCGGTGGCAAGTTAAAGGGCTGGGACGGTAGTGGTGGTCCCAGGCCCTTTAAATAGCCGCCTTTAAATCACCCCCAAACCCCAGGGCTCTCAGTTGCCTCTGCAGCTGGGAGCTCGGGGTGATTTAAAGGGCCCAGGGCTCCTAGCTGCTGCTCCCACAGCCCTAGCCCCAGGCCCTTTAAATCCTGATTTAAAGTGCCTGGGGATTTAAAGGCCCCACCTCTTCTGGTTGAGGCCCCGCCCCCTCATCAGGACTCCAGAGTACTGATAAGTTCTTTAAGGTACTTTCACCCCTGTCCAGGGAGCTCTGGAACAACTTGCCATGCTGAAAAGCAATATAAATATGGATCAATCCTTCTTGCTCTCATGTCCAGGAGCCTGAATGAGGCAACATGAACCTGTCAGAACATGCACTGGAGATGTAGCTGATGGTGCATGTGAACGTGTTCCAATAATAAATCTGTCATGGCAGAAAATCAATGCCATTAAACCCTAAAGTTTTTCAATTTGAACAAATGTTCTGGCTTTTAACTGAGAATTAGTGGTGCATTATTTCACCTGATTTTTTTTAAAAATGATAGCCAATGGAACAATGTTAACTTCCACATAAAATTAGAAATACCAGGCCAGACCCTCAGCCCCGGGGAAGTCTCCTTTGCATTGATCCAACAGTGCTAAAAGGACTGAAAGCTGCTCTAAAGAAGCACAGGGGGGTTGGCGATTCTCATGACAAGGGAATTCCCCTGCTAGTATGAATATTATTGGAGCACTCTAGGTGAAGCCAGAGTACTCTGCAATCTGGACAGACCAGTCCCTAGTGAACCATTCCAGTTGATGTAAGGTAGAATAGCCCTGTGGCTGCTTGGGCCCCCGGGTGGCCCTATGATTAGAGGAGATCAAAAACTGACTTACAAGCACTTTTGCCTTCTCCTTGTCCACTGCACAATTTGAGCTCTGGAACTTGAGAATCAGGCCCCATGCTCATTTACATCGATTTGCAAATATAGATTATCTGTTCCACCCAGCCTCTAAATACCAACTAAATACAGCTACACTTTTTTCATCCAGGATGTTCTATTTAGCTATGTATCAAGATATAGAAATAATACAAATTATCTACTGTCTCTGATGCTGGCTAATATGGTCTCATTTTTTTCCTCATAACCCCCTTTACTGTCTGTTACCATCTGTTGTCCTAGATTGTAAACATCTTGGGGTAGGAGCCATTTTTAATTCTATTTGTACAGTGCCTGGCACAATGGGATCCTGATCCATTACTAGGGCTTCTAGGCATTATTATAAATAAATAATAATAATATGTTATGCCCTAGGTGCTTTGAATATAATCCATAGTAATTTGAGGTTTAAGTACAAACAGGCTCTAAAGAGAAAGTATGGCTTTGAGTGTGGAAAGATCTTTTTATTTCCATCTTTCTTCATTGTCATTCCTTTACAGAACTTGCATGTTTTAAATCAGAGCTTCAACCCTACTGATGATTCTATTAATCTTTTTCCATCCAGCTCTTAAAAACAAGTCATGGTCAAAACCTCACAATCCTTTATAGATCCAATACACTGTATTTGTGTAATACAACAATGTTTTGGATGCTTAGCATGAGTTGCTGGAGCCTGGTGGAAAGTGTGTGGGAGAAAAATAGGAGCTGGGGAGTAATGATGATTTTGTTTGTTCTTTCTCCCCCTCCTTCCCTACCACCTTCCAAATTGCAGTGATCATGCTTTGGGCAGTCATGAGAGTCTTCGCAAGGCAACCACCTCCATTCAGCTTCGTCTACAGAAAGACACCAGCTATCAGCAAAGTTTGGCTCGATCGGTGCGTCATTTTTTTCTTGTTTCTTTCAATATGCCTGAGGAAATGAAATCTTTCCGATCCTCTCATGTAACCATCTGCATTAATAATCAGAAAGGGCTTGTTTGCTCTCTTGAGTGTTGTCATTCAAATGTAAAGGACCACTCCTTAATGATAACGCATCTGCTTTTTCAGTTAAAGGTAAAAGTCAAAAGATACCAGTTAGGCTTCCTTAAAATATCTTATTTGGTCATCACAACCACCTTTTTTAATAAGAGAAGAGCAAATGTTACCTTTGTTAGAAGAATTCAACTTTATTGGAGGATAATACCAGAACTGGAATCATGATATCAAACCCTTTTTTTTATTAAAATCTGGCTGGTCCTTGTACATTTTTGAAACATATTAAGGGCAAACATCCATAAAGTTCTACACAAGATAAATCAGATCCAGATCCTGGTTACTGAAATTCTAAGTATTTGATTGTGTGTGCATGAGAGAGAATGTATTTCTGCTGAAGACATAGTCTTATCGCACTTTAAATCTGAAGAGATTCTCATTCAGATTATTTGTGATTCAACTACCTAGGAATGGATTATTGAGCTTTAATGATACTGATCATGCTGCTAGATATGAATTTTATTCCCTGTGGGCAATCTTGAATTTCTTCCAAACCAAACTTCACACTACAAAGGAGACCTTGATGTTTTTGGTGATTTTGACTGGAGATGGGTTGCCTTTATCCACAGATAGGATATCTGCCTAAAGGAGGTAATTGGAACTACTAGCCTGAGTCTGTGAAAATTTGGATCAGATAACAGATTTCTAATATAAAAAATAGGGTTTCTTTTCTTTCCAGTTCTGGTATGTATCCTCCTAAGAATTGTCAGGTTCGGTGTAATTCATCTGTTGCAATGTTGTTGGTTTTTTTTAAAAAAAAAAGGTGGTTGTGAGACCAAATAAGATATTTTAAAACATACTGTATCTTTTGACTTCTTTACCTTTTAACTGATAAAAGCAGAGGTGCTATCATGTACAGCAGTGGTTCAAATTATTTGCACTTTGCATTACCAGGGTATGCAAAAGTTGTTGGGTTCTTTTTGTTGTTGTTGTTGGTTTTTTGCAAGCAATTGAAAATATCTGTAATTGAGATTCCATTAGTAGCAGAAGGACTGATGGTTCAGGAGACAGGAAATATATGACAGAGAGGCTTTCATCACCAAGTCACCATTTCAAATTTGGCTCAGATCAGTGGTGACCAAAGGTAATTACCATCTCACTGATGTCAGGTGATCTGTAGAAAATTGATGGTTTGTGGAGCTTTTATGGAGTGGAGTAAGCAGCTCGCGCTCTCTCTCTCTCTCTCACACACACACACACACTACCCCTTTTGCTGTGCTGTAGCAGATGTCTGGGGTCTTGCAGTTTGGCTTCCTGTTGTAGGAGAAATCAGTGACACTGAGTCAGGGTATATTATTAGAGCAAATTGCTTTATTTATACCTACACACCAGTTCTGGGACAGAGGTGGTCACAAATATCATGCAGACAGTTCCTTCTTTTAGAGATCTCAGCCGAATCACCAATGCCTGGCTCCCACGAAGATACCCTGCCCCAAGAACTGACTCAGTTTAAAAAGACTAAAACATAGAGCAAACTTCCTGGTGCTAGCCACAGTTCCCCAAGAGAATCTGCTTTACAAACCTAACAATATGATAGTTTCTTCCAAGGCTAAAAACATGCTTGCACACTAATAAAAAGAAAAACGTGTAAGACTCTATGTATGAGCGCCATCTAGTGCTCTTGCTATAACAATAGTTATCTATTGCACAGAAGATTTGAGACTTAATTAACTTTTCTGAAGTGCTCTGGGATTCCCAAGTATGGTGAGCTGCCTGGAAAGAGGTAGGCATGGAAAGTTTTATCTGTCATTTTAAAGCCACTAGGTAATTAAATATTGTCCTCTGAAATAAATAGTAGCATAGTCTGGAGTTGCGGAAGTGAAGGTTGTGGGTAATCTGACGCAAGTTATTCAGAAATACACTGCATGTGCGACTCTTATTGCTTAATTACAAAACTGGCAATCATAAAAATGAAATTGTTGACTAAAAATTCCAAATCATTCTGGTGAAAAATCCACTGGCCTTCCCACCTTGATTCATTTAAATGTCAACAGAAAGGGAAATGGTTCCAGAGGACATCTTCCTTAGGAAAATACAAAGAAGGGTTATAGTGTTTCTTGTAGATATGGGATAACACTAGGACAGCATGACCACTTGCCCACTACTGCTTACATACAGGTAGGCATATATCAATATCAAATATGTCCTCAGCCACCAAATACCTATTCATTTCCAACTGAAATATAAATCTAAATGAAGAATTGTACTTACAGCTTATATTATGGCTCATAAATTTATTTCTTGAGGGCTACATTTCCTATGGTGATGGGCAGATTCTTCTTCTCATTTGTCAGGTCCTTAACTCGTTCCTAGGTGCCCAAGCCTAGATGCCCGGCTGAGTTAGTGAGCATATTGTGTGTACAGCAGGTTGCCTTTGAGAGGTGATGGGAACAGTGCACTGCAAATAGGAGGGAGCAAGAGATCCAGCATTGTGTGTTCATATTTCACATTGTTAGCTAATCATTTGCAATCCGGAGACGTAGCGACATTAGACTCCTGAGACCAAATTCACAGCTAATATAAGTGCATGCAACTCCAGGGATAAATTTGCTCTATTTTGTTTACCTTGCAACAAATAGGTACTCTGATATCCCATAATTTTAGTAGTAACCATTACTTGAGGGAAAGAGTTTAGATTCATATTGAGGCCTGTGTCATAACACAGGAAGAAGCTCCTTCTACCCACTTCCTGAAGATTTGTGCATCTGGTGAAGAGCTCTTAAAAATCAGATTTTTTCCCCCCTAAAACTTCATCATGTGTATTTAAGTGAAATGAAGCCAATAAGACACAGACACAGACACACACACACAAAAACAGGAAATCTTAAGTAAGAGCAGCAAACAGAGGAAAAGGAAAGTTTTGTTTAACAATGAGAAGTGAGTATGCGTGAGTGTGATCAAGGATGGTGTTATCCCTCAGAGGGCCAGTAATAATATTCAAAATTGTTTAGTAAATTCAGCCAAAGACTTTTTTTTGTAAAGGTACATTTTTTTCCTTGCATAGGAAGCTGGTATTCTATTATGATGTATTCAGAAGGAAAGAGGAAATTGTCTTGAGCCAAGGAGTGAAAAAGCAAGAAATCTGGCCTCAGATTTTCACTTGAAATCATAGGTTTTTTTCAGCCAGTGGATTTAATTTGGTTTTGTGTGTTGAGAGATGAGTTTTACCAAGCACAACTCTCTTGAATAAAAGCTTTTAGTACTTGAATTTTCCAGATGTTAGATTCTCATTAGACCTCCAAATAAAGCCTGTGTAGAGACCACAGAGTTAACGGTTATGCTGTAAAAATATTGAGGCCCACTTATATTGCCTCATGGGACAAAAGTTCCCATTGACATCAGTGATCACTTCAAGATCTTGAGAATGGCAAATATTTTATGTGGGTGGGGGAAGATACAGTAGTTTCCTCACAAAATGATGAACCAATTTCGAATAGTGGTAAAATACTCCAGGGAATGGGACGCTGTATTTGTTCTTTGATCTTGTGTTTCACAACTGCCATATTATAAGTATACAACTTAGGATATTAAAAAGTATTGTTTGAGCAGAGCCTCCAAAATGCATCCATGTAAGCTGTAATGGCTCAAAAACTTACCCCTTGTTGGGGTTTGGTTTTAGTCCATGTACAGACTTTCAAATGAGACAGCACAAAATCTAGTCCAAGCCTCCATCACAAGTTTAGCTGCCTTCGGAGTTCCTCTCTGAGGAGTGCTCAGCCCACACCTGCTATTCCCTCTCTCTAGCAAGACCTTCCCATGTACCTAGCATCTGGGGGGGTATGAATCTCCAGCAGGACTGAATCCTCACCTGCTATAAAGGGATTTTCAGGCAAATGTTGGAACCCTGGAGATCATTTTTGCTTAAGTGGAATGTACCAGTATTAATGGTGATAACATTGTAGTAGAAGTGTTATGTTAACGCATGTGTATTTACAATAAAAATGTTAACAAATTGAGAAAAATGAAGTCATTGGTTACCCAATGGTAAGAGATGCATTTTTTGTTTCCTAAAATAATTTTTGCATGTTTAAGGAACTCTTAGTGACATAATGATATGGAAGTATTTTCCTATGTTGAATCATCCCTCATCCTGCAACAGAACAAAAATCTTTGTCCTATTAATATGCAAAAGCCTGCTCCTTCGCTGTTCTAATTCAACAGGTCTAAATTAGGCTTAATATACTGCAATGCACTACGTAGACCAAGAACAGAGTAAGTGCAGCTCTTGGCATTTAACTCTCCTGAAATAGTTACAACTACCAGGTAGAATTATTACTAACAAAGTAATCTTTAAGCTTTGATATTTTAAGCAGTTAATAACAGTCTTCGAAGATAAATTAGCAGTTTTCAGGATGTTAGAAAACATTTGTTGTCTCAAGGAATTCGCTAAACTATCAATAATGTACAGTAGGGATTCAGCAGGGATGGTGACTTTTTATGATACATTCAAGTAAATTATTGATCAGCCCTTGGTGATAACTGACATGAATGTGAGAGCTCCAGGCCTCAGTTGCTAATAGCAGCTGAAAACATTAACAGCTGTAGAGCTAGCATAAGTCACAGAACCAAAGGTCTCCTCCAGCCCTAGGGAATCCTTGCAACAATGGACTCACATGAGAAAAGAAAGGGTTCTGCTTGCAGACAGAAATGTTAACCAGTGCAGCAGGCCCAGAGGGAGCTATAATTAAACAGACACAGGCTGTACTGTATTGCATGCTATTAAGCTTCCTCTCGTACAACCCAATCCGGTGGTGAGTTGGGCCCTTCCTCAGACTTACTGCATGCCCTCATATCTAGGGCCCCACCAAATTCATGGCACGCTTTGGTCAATTTCACGGTCATAGGATTTTAAAAATCATAAATTTCATGATTTCAGCTATTTAACCCTTAATTTTGACAGTGTTGTAATTGTAGAGGTCTTGATCCAAAAAGGAGGGAGGTGGGGTTGGGGGGGGGATTGCAAGGTTATTGTGTGTGGGGGGGAGGGGGGTTGCGGCGCTGCTACCCTTACTTCTGCACTGCTGCTGGCGGCGACGCTGCCTTCGGAGCTGGGCGGCTGGAGAGTGGCAGCTGCAGGTCGGGAGCTCAGCTCTAAAGGCAGCACCGCCGCCAGCAGCAGGGCAGAAGTGAGGATGGCAGGGTATGGTATTGCCACCTTTGCGTCTGCCCTGCTGCCTGCAGAGCTGGGCGGCTGGAGAGGGGCGGCTGCTGACTGACGGCCCAGCTCTGCCGGGCGCAGCGCAGAAGTAAGGGTGGAAATACCAGACCAGGCCATCCCTACTTCTGCGCTGCTGCTGCTGCTGCTGCTGGTGGCTCTGCCTTTAGAGCTGAGCTCCCGGCCTGCAGCTGCTGCTCTCCAGCTCTGAAGGCAGTGTTGCCGCCAGCAGCAGTGCAGAAGTAAGGGTAGCAGTACTGCACCCCACACATCCCCCTACAATAACCTTGCGACTCCCCCACAGCTCCTTTTTGGGACAGGACCCCTACAATTACCACACCAACCCTCCAGCACCACGCCACTCAATTTCAGAAACCTGTACCAGTACAGAAGTGGGTAGCTATTGTCCTTTGGAAGCTGGCAACACCTGACCGCTATCGATCAGTTGCCAACCAGTTTGGGGTTGGGAAGTCAATTGATGGGGAGGTGGTTGTACAGGTTTACCAGGCTATTAGAACTGAGATCCATCCACAGCTGGGTGCCATTACCTAAGTCCTTGAAATTATATTGGGTTTTCAGAGGGGTTTTCTGAACTGTGCGGGGGTCATCAATGGAACACACTTCCCTAAACTTTGCCCTCTGAAAGGGGCTGGTAAATGCATGAACCACAAAGGCTATTCACTGTTTCTCCAAGGCTTAGAGGACCATAGGGGTCAGTTCATGAACACAAATGTTAGGCATACAAGAAAGGTCCATGATGTCAGAGTGCTCAGGAGATCAAGGTTGTTGCTGCAGAGGGAAACAAGGGAATTTATTCCCCCCAAATGAGGTAAGACTATACACTTGTTTTTGTTAACTGCTCTGTTTCGGGTTGATTTGTTGCGGGGGAAGAGGGGGAGCTTTAAGCATTGTTACAGTAGCTATACAGGTTTGGGGAGGGACTTGCACATTCCTTCCTTACCATGCTGTCTGATACCATGTCTCCGAGCTCTTATCAAGTGATATGCATGATTGCTCCCGTGGCCTGACTACTCCCATGGTTGCCAGTGATAACTGTTTGGTTGGGGAGCCATTAAAGCACTGGGTGTCAGGTATCTTCACTGTTACTTTTGTTTCCTTTGTGTTCTCGCTTAATTATCATCAAAGACATAAAGATGTTTCAGTTAACTTGCCTCCTGATTTTCATTGTGGTGCTGTGGACAGCAACAGTTATTTCACAACATACTTCAGGGCCCTATAGTCAGCAGAGATCTGGACTCAGCAGTGAGTCAGAGTTGCCTGTGCAGAACACAGGCGATGGCTGCTTGCTGGCTGCATGCTGGAAACTACCTTGCTTGAAAGGCGGAGGTTCAAGAATTCAAGCATCAAAGGAAGGTGGGAGGCCATTCATGGGTAGGATGACCAGATGTCCCGATTTTATAGGGACAGTCCCGATATTTGGGGCTTTGTCTTATGTAGGGGCTATTACCCACTCCCGTCCTGTCCCGATTTTTCACACTTGCTCTCTGGTCACCCTATTCATGGGGCTGGAAGAAAGAGTACCTCTGATTGGGGGTGGTGTCCAGGTAAAGATGGTGGGGAAAAAGTCTCTCTCTCTCTCTCTCTCTCTCTCTAAGGAGGTTGCAAAAGTATGGTAGATTTTGACCTTGTTTATCAGTAAATGTGGCTCCCATTCCACTGTCACCCATATGACTCTGATCCCCAATGTACTCCCTAAAAAGAGGAGGAAGCAGATGGACTCTGTGTATGTGTGTGTGTGTAATGTCTTCTACTTGGTGTAGCATGCAGGTATGTCTTCTCCCTATACTGCTAGTTGAGGATAAGGGCTGGGATTTTTCCTCTGTCAAAAAGACAAGAACCTGGAGAAAACAAAATATAATTTTAATGTGAAAGATAGACACCAAACACAATCTCAGATGGAAATACCCTGAAGTTTGGGTGTGCTTGAACTATAAGACCAGCTAGGAATTTTTTCAAGTGGCTCCTATTTTTTTCCCTCATGCAAGAAACCATAACCCTGACCAAAACTCTTCCTCAGTCTGGGGATGTTAAAAATCCAGGACTGGATTGGACTGTTCTGGCCTCAGCCCTTCTCTACTTGCAATCAAGTCTATTTGAAAATGCTCAAAAGTGATGAGGATTTTACTTAAGATGAGCTTCTTACTTTCCAAGGTCAGGTTGGTGGTGTGACCAGCTTCAAAAGTTTATGTAAGGGCTCAAGAACATATAGGCAAGGAGAGGAAGGTGTAAATCAGTCTTCAGTATTGGACCAAAAATAATGAAAGAACATACTGACATTATGAAGCACCAAACAAATTTGTACCACTTAGATACTTCATACCAGCAATTATATAACTCTTTATATATTCCTTTCTCTACAGCATGAAGATGACCAAAGTCAGTTTAATGTGAACCAGCTGCTACAATATACATATATTTGGAAGGTGTCCAGGTAAGAATGTTAGTAGTTGGAATAGCTGCACTTAATAACTGTATATATTTGCTGTCAGCACCTACATGCCCTGGGGCTGTGATTTCATCAACACTTGTAAGCTAAGCAGAGCCAGGCTTGTACATGGATGGGAGAACTACCAAGACAACACAGGGTGCAGCATGAACCATTGCTGACCTTTCAATAAATGCCACTTCTTCCAGTGAGTCAGTATTGAGCCAATGTTGCATCACTGTGTTAGTGGTCATGGTACAATTGGAGGTGCTTCTGACAGTAATTAGTGAAGTCAGTAGATACTGATCTTTGTCATGTGACAGAAACCCTGAGCCAGGCCATGTGACTGGGCCAGCAATTAAAGCATTTCTGTGCATCAGATTCTTATCACAGTACTGTCTTTGAGATGAAAAGCGAAGCTGATGTCTTGTGCTCTTGTATTCATAAGAAGTCATGCAGAGCCAGATTCTTTTAACCCTTGTGCTCTGGCTAAATTCTGGCTGGGGATGGAGATGGCAGCAAGCAAAATAAAATGAGCTCAATGTTTTTTTTTCCTTCTGTCCTCACTGGTTGGTTGGCAGAACAGTCTGTTTTATTGAACTATATTTTCTCCCTGTCCTCTTCCTTTCACCCTTGACGTTGAGAATGTACGTGACATTTTCATTATAGATTATATCATAAATAAAAGAAAAATTGTATTTTCTCCAGTTTGCAACAAAATGGCTTTCTGTGTACCTTATATTTTCAGTATAGTTGGCTATAGTGCTCTCTGCCTCTATAGCATTTTTTACAAGTACAATGAGTGTTAACTGTGTAGTTAAACCCTGTTTATAACAAGCCTTGTTAAAATAGCAACTCACTACAAATCCATGAGAATGGTGTTATGTAGAGAGAAACTATCATCATACGGCATTTATAGCAGTGTGTGACTCTTAAAATTCTCTTTATGAACAGGAGAACTTAAAAATTACAGCTGGGAGAAAAACATTTCCATCCGTCTCCCCTCCCCCTCCCCCTCCCCCCCCAACCACACAGACACACTTCTCCAAAGTTCCCTGGATTGAAGGAGCTATAATTTTCTCGTGCTGCTGCTCATAAAGAGAATTTTCAGAGCCAAATACCAATATAAATACTGTGATAATGGCTTCATTCTTCATAACACAGTCTTTGTAACCAGGTGCTATTTTAACAAGGGTAGTTATAACAGGGTTCGATATAGCTCTAGGGCTGATGTGTCAAGGACACCCAGATCTCTCATAGAAGATTAGGGTTGGAAAAGACCCCAGGAGGTCATCTAGTCCAACCCCCTGTTCACACAACGACCAACCTCAACTAAATCTTCCCAGCCAGGGCTTTGTCAAGCCGGCTCTTAAAAACTTCTAAGGATGGAGATTCCACCGCCACCCTAGGTAACCCATTCCAGTGCTTCACCACCCTCCTAGTGAAATAGCTTTTCCTAATATCGAACCTAGACCTCCCCCCACTGCAACTTGAGACTATTACTCCTTGTTCTGTCATCTGCCCCCACTGAAAACAGCCTAGCTCCATCCACTTTGGAACCGCCCTTCAGGTATTTGAAGGCTGCTATCAAATCCCCCCTCACTCTTCTCTTCTGAAGACTAAATAAGCCCAGTTCCCTCAGCTTCTCCTCATAAGTCATATGCCCCAGCTCCCTAATCATTTTCATTGCCCTCTGCTGGACTCTCTCCAATTTGTTCACATCCTTTCTGTAGTGGGGGGACAAAAACTGGATGCAGTACTCCAGATGTGGCCTCACCAGTGCCAAATAGAAGGGAATAATCAATTCCCTCAATCTGCTGGCAATGCTCCAACTAATGCAGCCCAATGTGCCGTTAGCCTTCTTGGCAACAAGGGCACACTGTTGACTCATATCCAGCTTTTCAACCACTGTAACCCGCAGGTCCTTTTCTGCAGAAGTGCCGCTTAACCAGCTGGTCCCAAGCCTGTAGCAGTGCATGGGATTCTTCCTTCCTAAGTGCAGGACTCTGCCCTTGTCCTTGTTGAACCTCATCAGATTTCTTTTGGCCTGATCCTCCAATTTGTCTAGGTCACTCTGCACCCTATCCCTACCCTCCAGCATATCTACCTCTCCCCCAGCTTAGTGTCATCCGTGAACTTGCTGAGGGTGCAATCCATCCCATCACCCGTTAATGAAGATGTTGAACAAAACCGGCCCCAGGACCAACCCCTGGGACACTCCGCTTGATACCAGCTGCCAACTAGACATGGAGCCATTGATCACTACCCGTTGAGCCCGATGATCTAGCCAGCTTCCTATCCACCTTATAGTCCATTCATCCAATCCATACTTTTTTAACTTGCTGGCAAGAATACTGTGGGAGACTATATCAAATGCTTTTTAAAATCAAGCTAGATCACGTCCACCGCTTTCCCCATATCAGCAGAGCTAGCTCTCCCTCAACTTTCACTGAGCAACTTTTGAAGGAGTGAGGAATATTTAGCTTTTATATAATTGACTCTGATAGTGTGTTTCATCCATATATCTCAAAGTGCTTTATAAAGGAAGATAAACATCACATTTCCCATTTTACAGATGGGAAAATAAGGCACAGAGAGGTGAGGTGACTTGCTCAAGGTCACCTTGAACTATATGGGATATTTTCAAAGGATCTGTTTAGTTTCTTTCAAACACAAATCACTTCATAAAAAAACAAAATGCTTGTTTACTGTCTGCTTCTCTTTCCCCTCCTGTATTTTTCCTGGACTGGCTCTTAACCCACTTATTAATAAACAAAGGTTTCCTTTCCTGCTACCTATGCCAGAAGGAGATTTATCAGTGACCTTTTTAGGCTATGTCTTCACTGCAGAATTAATTGGAGTGTAGCTAACTCCTCTTGAGTTAACTAAGCTCATGTGTGAGTGGCCACGCTGCAAGCATACGATCTGCAGTAATTGTGTCAGTAGCTGAGGTGTTGCACTTATTCGGCATGTAGCCTCTACTACTTCTAAAGCCATCCAACTCAAATTGAAAGCACTAACAGAATTGAGTTAAAGGGTTTTGTGTGTGGATGGGACTTGTATCACTGGAGGTAACTCTGCAGAGAAGACTTATCTTGTAATGTGATTTATTTCCAGGATGCCCTACATTGCTATTCTTAATAGCAATTTTTGTGTGGGCAGCCCCATCGTAATGAAATGCCACAGTGTGATATTTGTATCATGATATGGCAGAATGAAATAACATTTTTGTTCCAGGAGCCAAATTGGTTAAGATGGTCACCCTCTACTAGGTCTCATGGAGAATAATGAACCCATGACTTCTTTAGCTGCTATCAGCTGGCCTGGGAAGAAGTGAAGAGAATGAGCTGATATCTTACCCTTGCAAATCAGCAGGTTGCTCTTATAGGCAAGTGGGTAGCTAATGAATCAAATCAGTATATCCACGGGTAGGTGCTACGCCTCCATCCCTCACTATAATGAGCACCCAGAGTGAAATTCAAACTTGGTGTAAATCCCTGGACATCAGTGGAATTGTATTCACTTACACCAGGGCTAATTTTGGCCCATATTCCTCAACATCAAGATGCTGTTAAATACAACATGCTGGCTAACCTGATGGGAGTAGTTAAATATAGTTTTTTTTATCAGCATATTAATAAATGGCCTTTTGGAAAGGAAACCTGGCAGCACTCCACAAGAAGTACAGCTATCAGGAAATTAAAAAATTGAATGTTGTAGTGTATGTAGTATATTACTCTGCATTATCATGTAGAAGTTTGAGTAGAAATCAACATTTGAGAGTGGTTCTCACATTTTGCTGCCTTATGTTGCAAAACTGTTGTTGTATATTACCTGATCTGCTAATGTCATTGGATCCCTGGATATGCGTTGGTTCTACTATGATACATACACGAGCAAAACAAATTGCAGGATTGAGGCAGGAGCAGACTCGGAGGATAGAAATCTACACTAGGTTTATGTGGGTTATATCAGTTTCCCAAGTCCAGACTGAATGGAGTAGAACAGTAAAGCCACAGCTTAAATGTTAGAAAGTAAGGGCAATCATTCAAACTGAAAGAATTTGAAAAAACTAAATGTGTAAATATTAGAAATATAAGTAATTATTTAAATGTATTATTATTTCAACACTGTCCCTTTTTAAAAATGTACTTTTCTACACTGGTGATCTGGTTCAGAGTTTATAAAATTCAGAATTATTTCCAGTTGTTTTGCAGATGTAGGGCTTGATTAGCCATAGATTTCCACCCTATTTTGTGACCCTAGGCAGCAAAGCACTTAAGTCCATCTCTATTCAAAAAAGCATTTTAAGCACACGCTTAAGTTTAAACACGCACAGTCAATGGGATTTAAGCATATGCTTAGCTTTAGGCAGTTGCTTAAGTGGTTTGCTAAATTGGGGCCTTAAGTTTGTAAAAAGTAGGTATAAAATGCCACCAGGTTGGAGAAGTAGCACTTTAAACCTACTTTGTGCAAGGGTAAGTGACTACAAAAGGGTAGTGAAGTGTCATGTCCAATATTCCTTGAAATCTACATAAGCACTTGTTTTGATTCTGAATTCATATTTACATCAATGTAAAATCACCGTGGCCATTGAAGTTATTCCTGATTTACAATGTGAGGTAAAAATAATGCCCACTTTCTTTTTCTACCTACCATTAACTGAATGTTGATTTTATTTTTTTAATTTCCAGGAAGAACCTTGTTACATTTATTATGAAATATGGAGGTCAAGTGGAATATCTATTGCAAAATGAGGTATTTGTTCTCAGCCTGTTTTGCCAGAAAAGCATTAGCTTACTTGTGAAAAGTCTCTAATTATTAGATTAATCTGCCTCAAAGTGAATTAAAGAGGACTCTTAATAAAAGCTGTTTAACCTGTTTTGGAAAGGGTGTGGAAATTCTTAACTAAAATTAATGACATCTAAATTATGATAAATGCTACAAGATTAAAACATTCATGGTAACTATTTCCTAGTGTTAGGGAATAATAAAAGGATCCACAGCTCATTTTCAGTTAGCACCCAAATATTTGGATCTAGTTTTATTGTAATCACTTGAGTCTGCATAATTTGCCCCTCCCCCCACTTCTGCAAACACTTAAACATGTATTTCAGTGGTACTATCACATGCATAAAGTCAGACATGAGTTTGAGTTTTTCAGGATCAGGTTTAAACATAAAACTTGAGGGGGTTCCAATTCAACTGTAAACGCCACCAGAAAAGCTTAATTTTAGCCAGTCCCAACTGTAGGCAGAATCTAACCCCAAAATGAAGATACATGTTTCAATGACAGATAATTTGGGAGGGAATGAAGAAGACAAATAATAGGTTCAGCTGAGTTTCTGGAGGTGGTGCAGACTCATCTTATTTTTGGTTGAACTAGTTCTTCCTTTTTTCATTTATGATTTGGGAAATGAAAGAAAGCACAAGACCTTGTTAGATCACAGAATATACTCCTGCAGCAACTTGAAGCTATTACAGTTTGATGCAGTAGAGTTTAACTAGTTGTGTTAAAGTAAGGAATTCTCTTGCAAAATGTTACGCACCAGAAAACAAAACAAAACACACACCACCAAAAATCTCCATTCTGTTTTAGGGTACTAATCCCTCGCCGCCCCAGTTTTCACTTTTTCAAGATATTTTTGTGCAGTGGATATTTCCATTCTGAATTATGAAAAATTACCAATAATTCCTGCAAAAAATTACCTTTGTGTGAAAATCCTTGAGACTTTTCTTTTGCAGGATCCCATCATCTGTTCAATTGCAGCCTGGGCTGTGTTCTAGTGCAAGGGGATATGTGCAATGCAGCCCCATAATGGCGTTCATAGATCAGCAATTCAGGACCGAAACTACACAGCAATTTCAAACTAAGGCCCTGATCCGGAAAACACATAGGCGTTTGCTTAATTTAACACACATGAGCAGTGTTCCTTTGAACTCAGTGGAAGTACTTATGTTTGTGAAGTTAGGCACGTGTCTAAGTGTTTACGGGACTATGCTCTGAGACCCCAGTACTGCAGCCTCTTAGACTTTTATTTATGTGAGAAGTTCCATTAAGTTCAGTTATACATGTGTGCTTGCGGGATTAGCACCAAAGCAAAAAGGGTTCTAAATTGGAAAGGAGCTATGCACAGCATTAATCACACAATTAACTGCACTCCAAGCTCCATATCCTGCAATATATACTGTGTAGGCAGACCTCTGCACCTATATAAAATCCCTGGGGCATCCCTTCTCGTAAGATTTTTACCTGGAGTTCCTAGCCATCAAAGGCTAATCAAACCTGAAGACTAGACACCACAACACTGGACACCACACAATCATTTGTTGCAGTCTACAAATATTTGTAGTTTACCCCAGCGTAAACTCATGATACTTACATTTTAGCATGAGTTAGTTAACAGATGTTAAAAACAGTGTTTTTGCAGTGTTGATATGGCCACAGTTTACCTCAGGATCAGGGCCTAAATTTGTGCCTTGTTGAGTACACAATCCTTACCTGAAACTACAGTAGTGTTGTCTTTATTCTTCACTGTGTTACACCAGTTTTAGGCCAGTTGTAACTCCATTGTAACACAGCAGAGAATTGGGCTGTGTATGTGAAATTTTCCATGCACATAAAAACTACTATTATTAGAATTAATTGTTATGGTAGCTGGCCTGAAAAAGTTATGAAGTGGTCATGGAATCTGCCTGTTTAGCTTGCAGCAGTGCAGGAAGTTAGGAGGGTAAGTCCATCCCTATTCAGTAGAGCACTTAACTTTAAGCCAGTGGGACTTAGGTACTTGCTTAACATTAAACATGTGGTTAAGTGCTTTGCTGAACTCAGACCTTAGTCTGGCCTCCAGCTCTGGTTTTAAGGTGGCAGATCTCCAGGTCCTCAGTAAATTTGTTTCAGTCATTTTACATACCCACATCTTCAAATCCCGTAAGTCATGAGTATTTGTTGAGAAACTCCAAAGTTGTGGAATCCATAAGTGAGATTCATGGCAGAACTGTAGTCCTTGCTATTATTAATGTACAGTAAATGCCCTGCAAGCTAGATGCTGCTATTACAAAATGAAAATCAGAAAGATAGAAGTATGGAATATTTGGCACAAGAGATGCAGTTTGACCAAACATGTATGGAGCATTTCCACAGAATTAATGCCCTAAACGTTAGCCATTCTGATCGCCCGAATCATCTCTTGTAATTTTGAATAAAATTCCCGTTAGCCTGTAAAGAAACTTTTTGTTTAACTTTTGATAAAGGGGATGTTCCACAGTGGGATGGTGTTTTAATTATAGAAATTATTTAAACATCAAAATATCCTCCAAAAGTTATATTATTAAATAGTAAAAAGAAAAGGAGTACTTGTGGCATCTTAGAGACTAACCAATTTATATGAGCATAAGCTTTTGTGAGCTACAGCTCACTTCATCGGATGCATAAAGTGGAAAGTACAGTGAGGAGATTTTATATGTACACACAGACCATGAAAAAATATACATTGTAAGTGATCACTCTCCTTACAATGTATATTTTTTCATGGTCTGTGTGTACATATAAAATCTCCTCACTGTACTTTCCACTTTATGCATCTGATGAAGTGAGCTGTAGCTCACGAAAGCTTATGCTCAAATAAATTGGTTAGTCTCTAAGGTGCCACAAGTCCTCCTTTTCTTTTTGTGAATACAGACTAACGCGGCTGCTACTCTGAAACCTATTAAATAGTAGTATTTAAATATTTTCAGTAAAATAAAACATGTACATTATGTTGACTTTAATTCCTCCTGAATTTTAGGACATTTAGAACAAAAACCTCCCATAATATCTACAGAAAAATGAGTGTCTCTGTGTTAAGTCCATTAAGGTGAAATCAATGTGATATATCTATATATGGAAAGGGAAGACTCTCCAGGTATTAAATGTCTGTCTGGAAAGAGAGATGATGAGAGAAAAATCTATCATCAGTCATATCTAGTTTAAAATATTTTTCATATCTTTGTCCCTTAAGGCAATAAGACCCATGCCTTGGGAGTACCAAGTCCATAAACCATACCTATTTATAAAATGTCTTGCTTCACACTTAACAGCACGTTATATCATGGAAATGCAAACACTCTTCAAAACTTTCCAACGTGCTTTTTATAGGAATCCACAATGTATTCTGAAAATGTTAAACAAGATAGTTTTCCTCCAGAGGAAGTACAGCCATCACCCTATTCATGGATTAGCCTTGTGTGTCTGCAATGATAATGTATTATTCTGAAAACTCCTGTGTGTCCGTGTGTCTGTAGAGATAAAGTCCCCTGTGTTACAAATTCATATCCACATGTGGAAAAGAAAAATAGTAATATTCTCCAGGTCCATACAATAAAAAAGCCCACATAATCCTCTGGCTTTGTCATTGTTAAGGTGGTGACAAAGCTGTCCCATTTTAGCAGCTCCCGCCAATATGGTTATGTGTACTCTGTACATACAGAGAGGAAAATCTGCAAGCATTTAATTTAAAAATCAACATGATGGGGGGAGGGGAAAGGAGGAAGAAAGGAAAATGCAATAATTAAAAAGGGACAGGTTAGAAAGTGATGAATCAATTTAAGGCTGAAGGAAGCTCCAAAGTTTGTTAGCGAACACAAACAACCATAAGCAATTTCCTTCCCCTTCAATCCTAAGGCCATATTTTCTTTTAAACAGTGTGTTCATTTTATTTTTCAAAATTCTGTGAGAGAGTGTGCCCAATATATCCCTGCTCTAATTAAGTCAGGGGAGTTAGACCAGTGATAGTTATTCCATGTATTTATTTATTTGTATTAATGATAGATATTAACCTTCTTGTTACAGTTCAGTTACAGGCCTTCAGCTTAGAAATAAAAAAGTTTATTTTAGGGGCAATTTTTCTCTTTCGGCCATAGAAATGGATGAGTTACAAAAGTAATTTTATCAGCACATAAACACACTGTAGCTCACTGAAAGGAATGTTATCAGTACAGAGACATAGAGAATATTTTAGGAGGAGAGTTTTTGCTTGCTTGGGGAATGTATTTCCGTCTTTAAGGCGGTCAGTAGTACAAATAAAGAAGGAATCCATGTTAATTATTTTAAATATTCTCCCCAATATAGAGTATGTAGTATTTACAGAGATCTCCTTTTAGATTCCTGGAGTCATAGAGTTTAAGGCCAGAAGGGACGACCAGATCATCTAATCTGAATATCACAGGCCACCAAAACCACCCAGCACCCACGCCCTAAAGCCAACAACCTATATTAGACCACCGTATTTCAGCCTGCAGGACACTAGACTGTTGTGTGCCACAGACAGAGAGTAGGAAGGAGCACCAATGCCTGAAGCCCCCGCAATGGCAAGGAAATGACTACCTGAAATATACCCAGGTAATCCTGGCAAATGACCCGCACCACAAACAGCAGAGGAAGGCAAAATAAACACCTAAGGTCACTGCCTATCTGATCTGGTGGAAAATTCCTTCCCAATCCCACATATGGTGATGAGTTAGATCCATAGCATGTGGGCAAGAAGTAAGCAATCAAGCTCCTGAGGAAGAGACTGATGGCACCCCACCCCAGAGCCCTGCCCCCCACTCCAGGGCCCCATCTCCAGCCATGGCCATCCCTGATGCTTCAGAGGTAGGACATAAAACAAAAAAATGAGAATAAACTGGGAGAGGGGAAGTTGCTTCCTGACTCCTGCAGGGGGCTGGCTGAAACCGTGAACAATGAGCTTTTAGGAACAAAACATGTTAACTTGAAGTGA